CAGCGGCCACCTGGAACCAGGAAAACTGGTTCCGTCTTTCAAATCATTCAGGATAAAACAACTGAGGCATTTCATTCCTTCTATCAGCTTGCAAACCACTGGAATCATGGAATGGTTTGGGACGGAAGGGACGTTAAAGATGATCCAGGATTAGAGCTCAGGATGCGCTCAGCGGCACCAGCGGCTCATTCCCAAAGATCCCGGTGCAGCTCCAGGAGTCCTTACTCCGTGCTGTGGATGCTGTGATTCCTGTCCTGGATTTCTTGGCACATTTCCCGCTCGTCCCTCCTGGCAGACGGAGCAGGGCAGGCTCGGAGCCCTGCAGAGCTCTGCAGAGGTGTGAATTCAGGTGCTGAACTCAGGGGAGAAAACATCAAATAGACTCCTCCGAGCGGCACAAACGTCATGTAAAGCTTAATCACAGATTGCTCCTCGTGCCAGAGCAGGATGGAAACATTTTTCCTTGCTAAGCGGGAGCTTTATCCAGTCAAACATTTAGGAAAGGGTTGTTTTTTTTTTTTTTTTTTTTCCCCAGCATAAAATCCAGGCTAATTTAGTCATGAGTCAGGCTGGGTTTTGTCAGGTGCTCAGTGAACATTTGTAAAGTCTTCCCGTGAACTGAGGAGTGTCAGATGGAATCAGCATCAATTTTCCTAACAAGGCTCCAATTACTGCTCCAAGGAGCCGCGGAGCGGGGTGGGAAAACAGCTGCTCCCGTGTGAGGGACCCCCCACCCCCCTTCCCTCGGCTGCCTCGGCGCTCGATAGGAATTCTTATCCATTAAAATCAAAAACGCGGCTCCAGCTCCGCCTCAGAGGAGCCTCCCGTGTCTCGCTCGATCAAAGAGAACAGAATGTGGGGTTTTCCTTGTGGGCTCTTCGGGAACGCTGCTTCTGTTTGAACGGATGGAGTGCCCGGGAATGGGAATTTTTCCTTTCCAGGCATTAATAAGGAGAAGGCAGGATCCTGCCCTGCAGTGCTGGAGGAGGCTCCATTAATCACTGATGGTAATTAGGGGGATGCGTTTAAAATAATGACGGGTTTTGATAACGAGCAGCAGTTACCTGGGTCTGTTCGTGGGGAGGGCTCGGTGCTTTCCAAGGAGTTTATCACTGACAGGAAAATGGGGAATGGCTTTAAACTGACAGGGAATATGTTTAGTTGGGATATTGGGAAGGAATTCCTGGCTGGGAGGATGGGGAGGGGCTGGGATGGAATTCCCAGAGGAGCTGGGGCTGCCCCTGGATCCCTGGAAGTGTCCAAGCCCAGGATGGAGCAACCTGGGGTAGAGAGAGGAGTCCCTGTTCCTGGCAGGGAGTAGCACTGGATGGGATTAAACCATTCCATGATTCCACGGTTCCATGATTCCATGAATTCCTTATTTTTTGATATATTCATATATAAATAGGAGCTTCAAGGCCCCTCCCAACCCCAACAGTTCCCTGCTCCGTGCCACTTGGGTCACCCCCTTTGGCCACCCCAATTCCCAGCAGGCAGGATGTGATTTTCCAGGCCCACAACCCCCTGGAGCAGCATTTCCCTGGCTCTGCTCCGGGCTCAGAATCCCAGGAAGCCGCCAGGATCTCCTGGCAGCTCCAAGAGGAGCAGCTCCTGCTGGCTCCGTGGCATCAGCACAGCACCCAACTCCTACAAGTGGGAAGAAAACACAACCAAACAGAGGCAGGGAGAAATTCCAGGGCTCCTAAAAGCAGATCCTCCCCTGCTTTGCTTCCCGGGAAAGCCACAGATCGGGCACACTCTTCACACCCCACCAGCACCGAGAGCACTCCTGGATTTTTCCGGGAGAAAGGGATGTGCTCCAATGGCACTGCCTGGGAGAAGGGCGGCAGGAGGATGTGAGGAGGAGGTGGGATCTCGTTAAGATGTGTTGCAACCTCAAAATAGGAAAAAAAACCCCGGAGCGTTCAGCTTCCAGATGGTTGGAATGACGTGTGGCACTGGCAGCTGCTGCTTCCCGAGCCTCGGGAATGACAGGGGACAGGAGTGGGGAGGCAGCACCTGGAAGAGGGAGGGACATGATGGGAGGGCCAGAGGTCACCCTTCGGCACGGGGAGGGACCGGGGGAGGACTTGGACACTGTTCCCTCTCAGCTCCACACGTTTTCCTGCTTGGAATGCGCTGCTGGATCATCCCACCCGAGGTGGGACAGCACTTGGAGGTGAACCACTGGAAAAATCACAGCCAGAGGAAAGCAAACCCCGAGGAGGGGGAGGTTGGACTGACAAACAAGGTCTTTGCAAACTCCTGGAATCACTGGGATTGGAAAAGCTGTCCAAGATTGAGTCCAACCATTTCCCAGCACTTCCAGGGCCACGGCTGATCCATGTCCCCAAGTGCCACATCCACATGGATTTTAAATCCCTTCAGGGATTGGGACTCCACCTCTGCCCCAGGGAAACCTTTTCCATTAAACTTTTCCTTGTCTCCAATGTAAACCTCCCCTGGCACAACCTGAAGCAATTTCCCACTGTTATTTGGGAAAAGAAGCCTGGATACACCCTCCTGTCAGGAATTTCCCATTCAGCCTTCAGTGGAAAACCAGGAATACAAAATCCCAGCCAATCCCTGCTCGTCAGACGCTTCTTCCCCTGCTCCCCATGATCCAAATGTCATTCCTCACTTTCTAAGTCAAAGTTTTTCTTTCCAATGACTGGACCTGCCAGCACTGGTGAGAATTCCCAAGAAAAAACAGGAAAAAATACATTCCTTGAGGTTGGGCAGGAGATTGTCACCAGTGGGGATAAAGTGTCGCCTCTTAGCTACTCAATCCTGGAAATCCCTCATTTGTATCCAGGGATAAGTGGCCTTTGGATATCCTGGCACATCCCTTTGGAGCTGGAGAGCAGGGACAGCCCAGCCCCTGGATCCTGGATAAAATCTGGAAAAAGAACAGGTCCCCAGGGTGATCCTGCTCCAGACTTTGCAGGATTTTACCCAAAAACCAAACCAACCTCTCCTGACAGCCACAACATGTGGAAAAAAAAGGAGATTCACCTCACCTGAGCGGGGATAAAGTGTTTTAAAAATTCCAGCCAGGAAAATGATTTCTATGGCAACTAATGGTGCATTCCGAAGGTGAGGAATCGGGAATAATAAATAATAATCACATGGAACATCTCAAAACCACTCCATGGATAACGAGCAGGCATTCAAGGATGTGTCGGGGTGCTCAGAGTCTTGTATTTAATTAGGAGTGAGGTGAATTTTTGGGATTAACAGAGCAATTATTTGTAATTCTCCTTCTTTCCTATAATCCCCACAGCCTTGTGTTATTCCTCCCAAAAAACCTCTTTGATGCTGAGAAGACTCCATGAAAATTTAGAGGAGAAATTCCCAAAAATTTCCAGGAATTGGAAAGTGCAACCACCACTCTGAACACAGGACTTTCCCTGCCTGGAAATAATCCCAGGGAAAATTCTGGGGCACGTGGTGGGAAAGGCAGCAAAGAGAGCTGAAAAAATGGGAAGATTTGATAAATCTGAAGATTTGTGTTCAAAGGGAGGCCCCTCCAGGGTGGAATCGCTGCAAGGATGACCTGGAGCAGATCAGAGACATCCCCAAGTCATCAGATCCCAAAGAACCACATCCATTGATCCCAAAGTTAAAAGAACAAATGTTGGAAAGACAAAAAAGGGATAAATGTTTGCTTTGGTAAAGCAGGAAGGAGGAATGACAGGATAGAAAGGAAAAAAAAATGGAATTTTTTCCCATTAATTCATTTCTCCTCCCAGAACCATCACAGGCAGCCTCAAATCCTAGAGATTAGAAATCCCTGGGAATGTTCAAGGCTTGGAGTGGAAAATATCCCTGTCCATGGCAGGAGTTGGCACCAGCTGATTTTTAATCTGCTTTCCAACCCAAACCATTCCATGGTTCTGTGATTTTACAAATTCCCAGTCCAGGTTTGTTTCATTCTTCCAGCCTTTAAACCAAAAGGAGTTTCCACGCCAAGAATAATTGGAAAAAATTGAGAAACATGGAAGTGTGAAAGCATTCTTGGAAGGCACAGTTCCATATTTTATAACCTCATCCCCCAGCATCTGATCAAACAGCAGCTGGAAAACAATTTCCATGCAATTTGCAACCCAAACCTGAGAGTATCCTGTGGAAAAATCAGGAAAAAATTGGAATACTGGAAACACCGGCCCTAAACCAGCACAGAATAAACTTCCACTGCTTTGAGCTTTAAATCTTCTCCTTAAATTGGGAACAATCACGGAATAAACAGCAGAGCAACAGCAAACCCCTCCTTCCTGGAGGAGCTCACACTGAAGGTCTCCCAGAGAATTCCCTGCTCCCTGTTCCTGCCTGTCCCTGCAATTCCAAGAGCAGAGGGTTTAATTCATCACCTTGGAGAGGAAATCCCTGGTGATTATCCTAATTAAAAATAACTGATTAACGAGGTGTCCTGGCCCAAGGGGGTCACACCAGGGAGGTGCAGCACAAATTGCCAAAAGTCTTGAGCTTGATAAAATAAGGTTAGACCTGGGAAAAGCAGAGATTTTTTTCCAGCTAATTCTGGTTTATCCAGCTGCAACACCGGAGGTTCCATGACATCCAGATCCAGGTGAACAGGGAGCCTTTCCCAAGCTCTTGGGTGTCGCTGCTCCAGCTGTTCTCTCATCCAGAGCTCCAGCTGGATTATTGTGGACTGGGATGTGAAGATCCCAGATAACAGGACAACTTTAAGGATTTTTATCCAGCAATTGTCACCCTTATAATTCATTTCCTTCTCTTTAACCAACCTCCATGGAAATGGAGCATACCAGGATTTTAAAGTGCAATGTTACTGACTTTAACACCAGATTTTCCCAAAATAACTCATCAACATTCCCGCTGTTCCTCTGGAACACCCAACATCCACCCAACGACAGCCGGGATGGATCCCCCACCTGGATCCCGTTGGATCTTGCCCAGTGAGATGAAGGTGACCCCAATTCCTGGAAGGTCTGAGGGGGACAAAGTGGTCAGGGACTCACCTGTGGCCGGGGGTGGCCGGTGACCAGGCAGGTGAGCTCCAGGGTCTCTCCCTCGCGGATGGTGTAGACCCTCTCGGAGTAGCGCTCCTCCTCAATGTTGCAGGCCAGGCCCGAGTGCACGATCCGCACCGTGGGAGGGGCTGTAAGGCCAGCAGAGAAACAGGATCAGGACCACACGGATCACGGGATCAAGGGATAGTCAGAAGTGGGAGGGACTCACAAGGATTGCATCCTTACGGGAATCAAACCTGACCAGGGAGCTCTCAGCTCCATGATCCAACCAATCGAGCCCATCCCAAAAAACCCCACTCCTGGGGCTGGCCCTGAGCTGGGGGGGCTGCAAGGCCAGCAGAGAAATGGGATGAGAACCACATGGATCATGGGATTATTGGACGTTCTGGGTTGGAAAAAAATCCACAAGGATCAAGTCGAGCTCTTAAGGAAGTCAAATGCGACCTTGACATCCTCAGCTCCATGATCCAACCAACCGAGCCCATCCCAAACAACTCCACACCTTGGACCTGGCCCTGAGCTGGGGGGGCTGCAAGGCCAGCAGAGAAATGGGATGAGAACCACGTGGATCATGGGATTATTGGAAGTTCCGGGTTGGAAAAACCACAAGGATTGAGTCCAGCTCCTAAGGGAATTGAACCTACTTTGGTGTTGTCAATGATCCGACCAAGCAAGCTCATCCCAGGCCACCCCAGCCCTGGAACCAGCACTGAGTATCTCCCTCACACAGATACTCTTTGTTTACTCAGCACATACTCAGCCCCACAAGAGATTTCCATGGTTTTCATTAATCCCTGGCAATCCCCCGAATGAAACCTTCAGCACCTCCCACTTGCATTCCAATTTTTTTGTTTCCATTTCCAAAATGAACTCGGCATTATTGTTTTTACTCTATATCTTCCTAAATGTATTATCACACTCTTTATGCAAATGAAAAGACTTAATTAAAGCAGGAAAATTAAGCAGGAGAAACAGTGGCACTGATGCTGCTGCTTCCTTTCCAAATCCTGTCGCTGTCAGCGGGATCAGAATTTGGAGCAGGAGTTAAGTTCAGGCGGAACCTTACTTTAATTTCCTTGTTGGTACAACCTGTAGTACAGGAATTACTCGGCTTTACACGTTGTAAGCGTAAGGAAACCACGACATTCCTGTTCTTACACCTGCATAAATCCCAGCTCCGCTTTCACGGTCTCCAAAGGACATTCCCAGCTCCACAATTTCGCTTCGGAGCTGTGAAATTCACAGCTATGACAATTTCCAGGGAGTGGGTCGATAGGAGAAGGAAGCTGATTTACAGACCCAAATAAAACCACAAAAACTAAAGAGCACAGAGGATAAAACGGAATTCTGTGGGATTTAAACACCTGGAATTCCATCTTTTCTGTTCATCCATGTGATGCCATTGAGCTCCCAGCCCCATTCCCCATGGAAGAGCCTCAAAACTTCTCCCCAAGCCCCTTGCAACAGCTGGATTCCCTTCCCAAGGCTGCTTTTCCTGCTCTCCGTGCTGCCCATCTCACCAATCCTGCTTCTCTGATCGTTCTGCAATTCCTCTGCTGAGATCCACATGGAATTCCCGGGATGCAGGGCTCTGGAATCCCTTCAGACCCCTCTCACCATGGCATTCCTGGTCCAGCCCACACACAGCTCCCTGTGGACACAGCATACAGTGGGATCTGGATCCAAAAGCCTGGGATTCATCCCAGAATTCCAGATTTTTGAGCCTGGTTCTCCACAGGCTGGAGAAAATGAGGCTTAAGCCAAGGAGGCAGAAAAGGCAGAGGAGGACCAGGGAATGGATGTTTCCTCCACAGAAACACGGAAAGGTTTGTGTTGGAAGGGCCTTAAATTCCACCTCATTCCAACCCAGCACATTCCACTATCCCTGGTTGTTCCAAGCCCCATCCAAACCCGGCCTCAGACACTTCCAGGGATCCAGGGACAGCCACACCTTCTTTGGGACTTCTATTCCAGAGTCTCCCCACCCTCCCAGCCAGGAATTCCTTCCCAACATCCCATCCAACCTCACGCTCAGCTTGAAGCCATCATTCCAGAAAAGCTTCCATCAAGCTCTGCTCTTCCAGCCACCGCATCCCGAGTTCCAAAGCCCCAAGAATTTTCCCCCTCCACTTTTCCAGAAGGTTTCACACAGACCCACACACCCCTGCTCCAGGTAGTTTTATGAGCCAAAAGTGCTCCCAATTATTCCAAGTCCAAGGCAATGATGGAATAAAGTTGTTTGGAACAACTTGGGATAGAGGAAGGTGTCCCAGCCCATGGCAGGGATGGAAGATCCATTCCAATCCAAACCCTTCTGGGATTCCATGAATCCCTTGTCCCATAGATGCATGTGGCTCTTCCCATGAGACTCCTGGAAGGACAGGAATGTCCTTGGCTGGGAATCAGGACCACGTGTCACACTCTGACCTGGAAAAAATCCGTTAATTCCTGATTATGGTTATTTTTCCAGGCAGAGCAGCCGCACTAACACTCGGTGTGCTTATTTTTCCCTGAAATTCCTAGGACTGTTGATCCCTCTCCACACTCCTCAGGAGTTCAACATCCCAAGGACATGGAATGTGCTCTTTGTTCTGCCATTTCCAGGGCTCTGAGTCACCACCAGCACTTCCATCACCTCCCAAGCCACAAATTCCAAAATACGGGAATGCTGAGGCAGAGCCAGGGAGCAGAAAGGTAAACGAGGGTTCAGCACAGCTCATCAAACCTGGGATCAAATTAGAGTAGTCAGCAACATTACTCCAACATCCTTTAAAATCCATATTCCATTAATATTCCATTTTTATTCATGTTATATTCATATAACTCCAAATCACAGCTGAAGTGTCCTTCATTTTAGTGGCTGTGCCACTCTCCTGAATCCATTAAATTTGGGAAGGAATAGGAGAGGAAAAACGCCCTCCTGGGTGTTATTATCTCCAAGGAAAACACTGCTTTAAGAGATCAAGGGAAATAACAAATATTCTTCTTTTAAGTGAAAAATCTTATGGTTCAGGAGACACCCCATAATTATGAAATGTCACCTCCCTGTTTCCTGCAGGAATATTCATTCCAGCTCCTTCCGAAAGCTGCCTCCAGGGATTTTATCCATTAAAATAATATCAACTTAGCATTGATTTTGTTTGTGACATTTGAGGAGGATTTGGCTGGTGATTGCACACGGAAAACGCTGCGTGGATCCTTCCCAGCGCCATTCCCGGCTAGGCACGACCTGGAGCAAGGAAAGGTTGTCCAAGGAAAAGGTAAAGCAACAAATCCGAGCACAACCCCCTCGTCCTGCTGTAAGAGTTGTGTGACCCCACAGGTTCCCCCCTTTCCATGAAAAATGTGAAGTTTCACCTTCCCGTGTCTCCTCATCATCTTTCTTGGCTGCTCTTTCCCAGCAATTCCTAGTTTAGATGGGATATTGGGACGAAATTCCTGGCTGGGAGGGTGGGGAGACCCTGGAATGGATTTCCCAGAGAAGCTGTGATCCAAAGTCCTGATCCAAAGGATTTCCAGTGGAATTTGGATGTTTTCTCAGCCTGGAGAGTCCTCACTGGACTCCCACTGGGAAAATATTGGGAGCTTGAGGATGATTTGGTGATCCCTGAGCTGTGCTGATGGATTGGGAATGGCTGGGAATTTCCTCTGCTCCAGATCCTCACGTTGATCTTTTTTTATGGAAAATGGCATCAGGATCCTTGGAGAAAAGTGGGAATGAGGTGGTATTTTGGATTGGCAGAATGGGAGAAAGTTTGAGAGGACTTTGGGATTCATTTCAGCTGGAATAGGAAGAGGAGCTGGGAGCTGGAGATCTGTGGAGCTGGGAATGGGAATCATTCCCTGGAGAGGGACTGGGAACAAGGCCTGGAGGGACAGGACACAGGGAATGGCTCTCACTGCCAGAGGGCAGGGATGGATGGGAGATTGGGAATTCCTGGCTGGGAGGCTGGGATGGGGCTGGGATGGAATTCCCAGAGCAGCTGTGGCTGCCCCTGGATCCCTGGAAGCATCTAAGGCCTGGGATAGGGAAGGTGTGGATTCCAGGGGTGGAACTGGATGGCCTTTAAGGTTCCTTCCATCCCAAAACATTCCAGGATTCAATTCCAGGATCTCTTGGCACAGCTCTTTCCTGGTTAAAAGTTTCCCATACACAGACATTTCCCTTGTTGGAAAACAGGGAATTAAACTCTGACCAACACCAGAACTCAGATCCCAGAATGAATTCCCTTAATCTGAGTGGTTCTAAGATCTTCCTGATTCATGGAATATGGAAGATTCCTTAAAACCAAATTAAAATGAGATTTTTTTTCTGGGAAACAGGAGATCCATGACGGACCTGCTAGAAAATGCAGGGTGGATTTGCCATGAATCAAATCCTTCCTTCTCCCCTCCTGCAGCCATGAGCTTTCCCCCTGATCCATATTCTGCATCAGGAGCTTTTCCATGGAAAATTAATTAGCAGGAGTGATGCCCCCAGTGAATTTAGTGCAGTTCTGCAGTGGAATAAGGAGGAAATAATGGGGTTTTCTGAAGAAAGAGATTTAAAGTAATTGCAGGCACTTGCTACTCTCAGAATTCACTTTTCCCATATTATCCCAGCTCTTAATTCTCCTAAACTGCAAATGGAATGACCAGGAATCTCTGAGGTATTGCCATGGGAATGTACTGCCCTCATCAATGCAGAATTTGGAGCATTTTACTGCAGCTAATTTGGGATTTGGGGCTATTTTTCCAGCTGGAGGTGAGACTCTGTCCACAAATAAACGGATTATGGAAACAGCTTTTTGTATTTTTTCTCTAAGTGGGTTTTTTCTTTGGGGGAAAATCAGATGTTACAAAAGTCTCTTCTATTAAACAAATATTCCGTTTATGGAGAAATCCTTCATTTTGGCTCCAAGCTGAGCCAAATTCCAGGTGCCTAAGAGAGGAAACCTTCAGCTGACCCGATTCCAAACCAGTTGTGCCATTCCTGGATCACTCCGTGTCATTCCTAAATATTTCCCACCTGCTTTCACCTGATGCCCGTGGGAATATTTATTGGGCACCTTCCTCTGAGATGATCCCGGGCAGAATTTTCCCATCAAACAGGACAAAGTCATCTTTTATCCCATTTGGGGCTGATTTT